CCGTCCGTCCCCAGGGCAGAGCACACCTCTGGAGCGGTGGCATCCCTCGGGGGGGGGGGGGGGGGTGGGGGGGACGGAGAGGGGGGGGGCTGTGCCCTTGGGGCAGGGCGCGTCTGGCAGCCGAGTGGCACTTAAGAACGAGCTTCTAAGCTCAATGGCCTTTTCTTGGGAAGTAAACTTCTTCAGAACTTCTGCTCACACGAGGACGTCGTGGTCAGAGTGGTCTCCTGCTGCTAAGATGATCAGTGCAGCGGTTCTCATCTCTCGTCCACAGACCTCAGCCTGTGCTGGACATATGGGGAGGATTACAATCTGTTCTGCAGGACAACTCCTGATGACTTTCCCCACAAAGTGGTGCTCATTTTTACAGACCCAGGAGGAACGGTGGGTCGAGTGAACCCCCAACCAGGATTTTTTATTTTATTTTCAACCTTCCGAGTATGAGCCGCTCGCTGTCCCGGCGAGGCGCCTGACCGGTTCGATGTGGAGGGTGCAGTTCTCTCCACATCAAACCGGCACCCCTGCTGCTTCAACCAAAGTTGCTGGAATAAATCATCCCTCCCAGAAGGGGTCGTGTGGCTGATGGGATGGGTAAATTATTATTGTTTTCACTTACGTGCAGGGATATGCGTTTGTTTTACACTCGGACGATCATGAATGTTTCGTGCTGCGCACAATCATGACGAGGCAGCCCTCCATCCACCCCTTCACGAAAGGCCTCCTGAGTCTCACGGCTCTGGTTCAGAAAGGGGGGGAGAGGTGCTGCGTGGCGGTGTTCGGCCTTTCCCATTCACGAATGTTTGGCGGGTGCGGTAAAAAAAAATTGGAATCATCATTTTCATTCCCGTCATCATCATCAGCCGCAGCCATGGTCAATCCACTGCTGGACGAAGCGCCTCTCTCAGCTGTCGCCATCCGTCACGGCGGAGCGATGTAACAATAAATCACGCGGCAGCTGTGGACGCAAACGACATTCGTCGTTCTGTCTCCTGCTCGGGCGTCCCCCCCCCACGGCGCGGCTGCCGCTCCGTGACTCACCCCCGTGGGCGAACGCTCCGTTTGGCTCCGTCACGACTTGTGTCTGTGTCGCCGTTCCATGTTTGGCAATGTTATTTTTTATTGCTACTCGTATGTTGTTATTGTTGTTGTAATTAGGCCTTCGGTTTTGGAGCGATTGAATGACTGAATCGGATCCCACCGCGTCGCGTGCCTCGCCAGGCCAGGTCGGGGCACAGCGGCACCTCAACTGATTTTGTCTTCATCAGAATCAAAATATCGGGAACGCGCGCGTGTGGTGGATGATTGAGAAAGTGGGGAGCGGTAGAACAATTGGCATTATTATTGTCGTATTGTTGTTGTTGAATTTCCTATTGTACCCACATGACGATCCAACGCGCAGGAAACTCACTATGAATCTGAGACGTCGAAGTGGGTGCAGGGCGATGGCTGCGCGAGTGCGAGGACTGGCAGCGGTCGCGCGCGTGGAGAGCGGTCAGCGCGCTGCGCTACGAACCCGACGGCCCCGAGTTCGATTCCCGCCCACGGCCACCGAACATCGGTGACGATTCACCTGAAACCGGTGCTGAGCATCCCCGTGAGTCGCCTCGCACCTCAGACGAGTACCCCGTGCGGTCGGTGCGGTCGTCTAAGCATCGCCACCGGCGAGACGAACGGGGCGGACGGGAGTGGTGAGGTTTTGGGTTTTTTTTTTCGGCGCATTCACTCGGCGTGATTTGCGGAGCGGACAGTTGTGCGGCGAGGAACGGTCGATCGGCGCTGCGTATTCGGATACGGGAGCGTTGCCGCATTCGCACGGCGAGACAGCCCTTCGTCGTGAGCAGCAGGCCGACGTGCGGCACGCCGGCATCGTTCGCGGCCAAGGCATTCGTCTGTCACGGGCCATTAAACCGCAGGGCGCTTCATTAAAATGTTTAATGCCCCTTTTAAATATAAACGTTTTGGCAAATGGCCCAAGACAAGAAAATCAACAGAAGCAGATGTGAACGCTTGTTTTTGGATCGACTCACACACACACACACAATATCACTGCTTAAAAATCTCACCGATATAATGACAAGATCTCGCGGTAACCCCGTGGCTGGAGTGCCACTCGGCTACCACTCGAGCTCGCCGAGCTCGTGCACGCGCGCCTCGAGAGTGCGACGCCCAGAAGCGGAACCTTCATCTGATCCGGACAAATCCGATGAGCTTCGAAGCTCTTGTTCACGGATGCTCGGTGGGGGCGGCCACGGTGGTCACGTGGGTCACGGTGGTCACGTGGGTCACGGTGGGGGTGGCGACGGTGGGACTCTGTCTGTACTCGCGGACGCGGAGTGAACCGCTGTTGTTTTGTGCTCCTGCGACAGAGCAGGAGGAATTGCAAAACTACTCACATTGTTTAATGTTGTGGGTTTACTCCCCAACACTAATTGACACGTTTTGTTGTACGTGACTAACCTTACTAATTGGCTGCGTCGTGTGGTGGTGGTGGTGGTGGGTTGATGGCACATTTATATTTACACGATGTTTACCCAACAAACCCTTTATTATGGAAAACTACACCAACTCCCTCCCTCCCTCTCACGTGCAGCCCGCTCGCCGTGGCCAGCAGCCTGACCTCGACATTGGCTTCGAGCTCCCGAGGAACTCATTGCTGCTGCTGCTGATGCTGCTGCTGCTGCTACTGCTGCTGCTACTGCTGCTACTGCTGCTGCTACTGCTGCTGCTGCTGTGACCATCGCGCACAAGGGGTGGAACACACGCAGAGCCTCTGCGGTGCTGAAGGATGCGTCGATACTTCACCGTTCTGGTCTCTCCCCCCCACCCTGCCATCGCCGATAATAATTTCCGCGTCTAAGCGATGTTTGCCGTGCGAAATCGTTTTTCGTCAGTAGCGAATAATCAGCTGCGCGGCCTCGCTCGAAGTGTTCGCTCTGCGAACGTGCAGGTTGAGCCACCGCGGAGGGCAAGTCTGAAAACTGACCCACGGCGCTGCGCAACGGTGCCAGGTCATCTGCCCCAGGGTCGTCATCTGACACAAAGGTGGACTCCGCATGGGACTGTAACCATGGCGTGATGCGACGCAGATAAAAAAAAACGGAATGGAATTAACAAAAACAACTTTTTGAAAATGTTTTACCGGGTGAGGCCCCACTGAGCTACGCAGCTCTTTTTCAGTAGCGACCTCGGCATCACGAATGAGAGCTCAACGAAGTGGGACCTCATCACGTGGACATTTAATGCAGCTAAATACTCTAATATAACGTGATGTTCATTTAAAATGTGGAGGAAAAATTTGAGGACCCGGAGAAAAATCCACGCGACCACGGAGAGAGAGAAAGACACGCAAGCTCCAAATATACAGCAGCAGGCGCCAGGGTGGGGATCGAACCCACGACCTCCTGCATACGAGGCGAGGCAGTTAACATATCGCCACGCAGCGCCCCTGAAGTAAAAACACAAAAGCAGAGGCGCATTTCGATAACCAACCACAAGTGACTGGCCAGAGCCTTGGCACTGAAGGGCTGGGGGGGGGGGTCTCCCAGGGGGCCTCACAACGAGACTCCAGCGTCGTCGTTCATGAATGACCCCCCCCCCCCCCCCACGTGGGATTCGTTCTGCCCGCGGCCCCCGGGAACCGCTGGGCGGCCGTGGCCTTGGGGCCACGCGGCTGCTCGCGGGGCCACAGCGACGGGGGGAGTTGAGCCGCGCTCAACCCAGCGCGGAGCGGCCCCCGCGGGGTGACTCAGAGACACCGGCAACTTCGCTGTCCACCCACCCCTGAAGGCGCAGTGACCACGCGTGACGCGACACACGGGGGGGGGGGGGGTCATCGTCCGTGTGAACACGGCGCGCTGCGGGACACTAAACGCCTCGTGTTCAAGTCGACGTCTTGTTGTGCTATTGTTGTTTTTTTGTTACAATGTGTCGTTTCTTCATTCATAGCGAACGGCACCCACGTGTTTTACCTTACCGTGCAGAAAACACGCGGTCGATGACGAGAGATACGGAGCACAAAGTGACAGGCGCGCAAAGAGGCACGGGAGGGGGGGGGGGAGCGATGCACGCTGGGAACGGCATTGAGAGTCAGGAAGAGGAGCACGTGGATGAGAGAACGTTCGCACGTTAGCGACGTCATTCTGGACTGTCAGGGAAGGTGGACGAGGCGTTTGTGAAGAGGCGTCGGTCTAAGGGGCGCTGTGTGATCACAAGAGCAATGAGGAGTGGAACGCGTCCGAGAGACGAGCCCCACCGAGGAGACGGAGCGATGAAATCGGCTCACGTGCAGGTGCTGCGCGGATCGTTGCATCGAGAGATTATAAGAAGAATTGGCGGCGGTTTGACAAGGGTTTCATCCATCAGTGGATCGATCGTAGCTGATGATGATGATGATGATGTTTACTCCTCACGGAGTGCTTCGTCGCACACCAGAGGCACGCGTGAGCGCGCGCCCTTCATCCTGCGTCGACTAACCGCGATTGTGACGCAGCGATGACGTGTGGGGTCGACAGCTATCACGTGACGGATCGCACCCAATCACAGGCGGCTATTCCTGACGCGCCACGGGAACCACAGCGCGTGAGTCACGGAGCGCGACGCGAGCGGCGGCCGCTGCATGGAACCGATTGGGTGTTGGGGCACGGCTGGGCTGGCTCGACTCAGAGGAGGGGAACACTGCGGGTGAAACGAGCGGCATTACCGGCGGAACCCAGAGGAACCCAGCGAACCCAGAAGATCCCAGTGGAACCCAAAGGAACCCAGAGGAACCCAGAGGAACCCGACGTAACACAGTGTCACCCGGAAAAATCCAGAGGGGCCCAGCGGAACTCAGCGGTGTATTCTGCAAACTCTTTATATACACACACACATATATATAATATCATAAACTTGGACGTTGCTTTTTATCCAAGGTAGACTGCGCGTGAACACGCGCCATTAACTAAGCGGAGCGAGGGAGGCGGCTGTCGAATGACCGAGGCGACCGCGCGCTCCGGGGTTACCTGCCCCGCCACGACGGCGAGAAGGACACAGACGCTGGGCAGCATGGCGATGGTGGCGATGGTGGCGATGGTGGCGATGGTGGCGATGGTGGAGGTGGTGACGGTGGCGGTGGTCGCCTTCTGCGCCACGCAGCAGCAGCAGCAGCAGGCGCCGCGCACTCGGCAGAGTTGCGAAGCGCTCGAAGCCGCGCGCCTCCACGCGAAGCGAGGCTGGAAGGCGGCGGCGGCGGTGACGACGAGGAGCAGGAGGAGCAGGCGGAGTGAGCGAGTGATCGAGATGGCACCGGGGCTGGCACTGCGCTGGGCGTGGAGTGAGAGGGACGGGAGCCCGCGGGGGGGGGGGGGGGGCGGGGGGGGGCACGCTGCTCGCGGAGCGCGCGGCTCTCTGCTCGTGTGAAGGGGAGGGACGGACGAGGGTATTATTCGAGGTATTTTTAGTCTCCCGACAGCGGGCTAAACGGACAGTGCCAGCTGCTCCGCGAGTCACCCGCGCCTCCACCACAGCTGCCCCCCCCCTGTAGTCACCGCCCACGGGGCGCGAACCCGCGCCACCGGCTGAGAGCTCCTCTCGCCGCGCTGGGACGGCGATCCCGAGCTGAGCGGCGGCTTACTGCGCCGTGGGAGACGCAGCGGGAAGCGGCAGTGCAGCACGCGAGACAATAGCAACACGGACAGGGGGGGGGGCGTGCCTCGGGCGGCCACCGACCATTGTACAACACGCGCACGTGCACGCGTCGCTTATAATTGGCCTTTAATAGTTAACGACGAATGCAGCGTACACGCACCGCGGATAATAGCGCACTGTATTACAGGCGTTACTGACATCTTCGCTGCGAACATAAGGGGAGGGGGGGGGCACCTAAGCCAGAATGTGTCACAACGACGACGATGATGATGACGATCATTGTCACGGCCACGCACATGAGCGCGCTAACGTGGCCAGCAGGAGGACGACCCGCACGCGGCGTGGTGGGGGCCCCGTGCTCTCTGCAGCTTCAGGAGCCGACTCCAACACGAGGGCGACTTTTGCCGCGCCGAGTTAGAAATTCCCGCCGTGCCGAGAGAGAGAGAGCGGGGGGGGGGGGTGCCCCTAACGTGTGCCACGTGCAGCGTCTGCGTCAGTTCAAATTCACGCCCCGACGTGAGAGTGAATGTCACTCATCTTGGCAATGCGCTTATTTACCCAGCGGAGCCACACTGCTGAGTCGTGTGGCTCTTGTTCAGGAGGGGCCTGCTACATTGCGGTTTTTTTTTACTTAATTTAAGAACAAATGTTTCCAGCAAACGAATGAAGCGAGAGGAAACCCGAGCACCCCGGAGAAATCGCACGCGCGCGAGGGGGCAACACTCAATCCCCGCACAGGCGGTGTCCACACCTTGCGCTGTACCACATTCTCATGGCGAGCCACGGAGAGAGGAAGAGTTTCGCGACGTGTATGCATGCACGTACGTTGCACTTCTTTCGCACCGTACGTAGCCAACCGTGCTAATCGGAGGTGCGGATCCGCGTGTGATCCACCAACCATCGCTGCTGCCTGCACGCTGCAGGATGATCACGGGCCGCGTTGAGCGTGCCCACCACTCAACTCCCCACTCCGTGCCCAGGCGGTGACGCGACCTCGGACTCGAACCGGCGTCTCGCGCCTGCAGAGCGGCGCTTCGCGGCCGGGCTGGTGGATCGCGCAGAGATCGCGCGAGACTGCCCGCCCGCCCGCCCGTGTGTGCGGCGTTTCCGTGCTTGCGCGCGCTTTCTCCTCCTGCCACTCCGATGGGTCCTCCGGGTTTTTTATTTGAACCTCCGCATTTAGGATCAACGTGCGCTTCGAGTGTTTGGTTGCTCTACATTTCCACGTGATGATGATGCTGATGAGCCACTTCGTTGAGCTGTCATTTGTGGTAACCCAGGTCGCTTCTGAACAAGAGCGATGGAGCTCAGTGGGGCCTTCTTACCTGGTCCCAAAAAATAAAAAATAGTTACAAAATAAATACCTCGTTAACTCCGACAGGCGAGACGTATATTGTTTTGGTCTTTCGGTAAAGCCAGGCAGATAAAGAAATAATACATTTAATTGTTATTTATTTTATTTTTTTAAATTTCTATCTACGTGGCTTTACCGAAAGACCCAAAGAATATGAATGCCGAAGATGTCCCACAGCACCTTTGGCTTCCTCCGGGGGCGTAACGCGCGACAGTGTCCCCCTCCCCCTCCCGGCCCGCCCCGTGCCGGTTCGCCCCACGGTGTCCCGGGGCCTCTCCCGGGCGCGTGCAGCGCTGGGCCGGGGCCCAACCGCGCTCCAACTCGGCGGCGTCTGGGCCGTGAACGCGTAGCGATGGAGGCAGCGCGAATGGGCGAGCCGCTTGATTTCGAAGTCTTTGCTGAGCTCATTCTAAAGGGGTGGCGTGGGGATGGTGACCTCTTCCCTTCTACAAACTCACGTATTATTTGTTGACGTGTATAATTTAACAGGTAAGGCCCCACTGAGCTCTGTAGCTCTTTCTCGGAAGCGCCCCGGCCACAACTGGCAGCTCAACGAAGTGGCGGCTGATCGTGTGGACATTGATAGCAGCCAAGTCCTCTCTGAACCCGTGATGATTCTAAATGTTGAGGGACAACCCGGAGGACCCGGAGAAAAATCCACGCGACCACGGGGAAAGAGACACGCAGACTCCACATATACAGCAGCAGGCGTTAAGGTCGGGATCGAACCCACGACCTCCCGTATACCAGGCGAGGGAGTTAACATCTCCTAGCCACCACTACGACTGCGTGCATCGCGCTCATCGACCCGAGCGTTAGCGGAGAGCGCAGAGGCACTGGCGGCGCTGATTCTGATACTCAGGGGCTGAAACGCGTCAAATAAACAAGTCCTGCCGAGACGCAGCGTGATCATTCTCCTAACGATATGAGATGTGCAATAACAACAACAAATCAAGTTATTTAAAACGGCAAATTGTGACTCGTGGCTATGCGCGTGGCTGCCTGCACTCCATCACTGTGCCGGCAGCAGCGAGGGTTGGCGGGTCACCGCACGCACAGATGTCGTTGCGAGACTCCCTTGTTGGCTGTGCGAGTCGAGGAGGCGTACCTAGCCTGGCTCTGCAAGGCGAAGGCGGTACACCAATGACGTGGAGCTCACCTGCTCCGTCTGTACGGGGATCGGGTGTTGCCCCCTCGCACTCGTGGGGGTTTCTCCGGGTGCTCCGGTTTCTTTCCACGTGCAGACACGCCCATGAATTGGCCGTCAACTATTGTATATGTCGAGGAGCGCAGAGCTTGGGGAATGGGTTTGGGAGAGTCGGCTCGTCGCCGCGTGGGCTACTGCTGCTGCCTTGCTGCTCGACTGCGGCTCCTCCTCGCGCCTCTGAGTCGTCGTCCCTCTCTCTCTCTCTCCGGCGAGAGCGGCCCGTTACAAGATGACATTGTTCGTGTTATTATTAACTTGGGTCAACTTCGCCACTACTTTGTTGTTGTTGTTGTTATCACAACAGGATCCAGCAGCCACCTCGACTAAACGAGGTATTCTCATTAGACTCGATCGTGTCTTGGCCAACCCAACTACTTTCACGTTACACATTTCACGGCCTTGACGTCTCAGATAGCCGTGGATTTTTTATAGACATCACATCGTTACGAGGCTTCATTCATCATTTTTGTAATTCGGCTGTGCTTTTTTTTCTCAGATAGAATTTGAAGCTATGGAAATCCACGGTCACATACAGTATTCAGATATCACATACCACTTGGATTAAAAAATAAAAGCATTTAATGTTGCTGCCTCAAAGTGTTTGAAACCACCTCGTTTCGTCTCTTGCCATCGCTGCCCTCATTTTAACTGACTTATTATGAATAACACCAAAGTTTAAGTGTGAACGTAATCTTACAACATACTTGCCAGTATCATTAGTTGCTGTTCTAAACCTATAATTGTGGAATGCTTTGACGCTGTTCTGCAGGCCGTGTGGCCCTTCAGAAAGAGCTTCTTAGCTCTGCGGGCTTTACTCGGTGGGAGATAAACTCCTGCCTGTGAATGCGCAGGGCTCGGGACTTCTTCAACAGAGCAGCAGCAGGAGCAGGAGATGGAGGGACAGCCGCGACACGAACTCTCCTCTCTCCTCCCTCTCTGCTGAAGCCCTCTCGTCGTGGCAATCAGCAGCAGCAGCAAACATCGCCATTAGCATCTGAGCTTCTTGAAGGTATTGCTGCTGCCATCATCACGCGCAAGGAGAGAATCGAACAACAACAGCAGCAGCAGCTGCAGCAGCAGCAGTAGCAGCAGGAGCAGCAGCAACAGCAGTAGCAGCAGCAGCAGCTGCAGCAGCTGCAGTAGCAGCAGCAGTAGCAGCAGCAGTAGCAGCAGCAGCAGCTGCAGTAGCAGTAGCAGCAGCAGTAGCAGCAGCAGCAGTAGCAGCAGCAGCAGCAGCAGCAGCAACAGCAGCAGCAGTAGCAGCAGCAGCAACAGCAGCAGCAGCAGTAGCAGCAGCAGCAACAGCAGCAGCAACAGCAGCAGCAGCAGCAGCACGGTGTCTCGAACATGGATAATCTGTCACGAGCGTGAGCGCCGCGCAGGATTAGCCTTCTTTCATTTATTTATTTGTTGGCTTTAGCGTCGCACTCTTCCAAGTGAGGAGCTGAGCGTGATGCCTCTTGGAGACGGCACATGTCGCGTTATTTTGTCAGAAGACTTCAGCAGCTCCATCTGCACCGGTCATTAACCTGACGTCTAACGAAAATAAACACAACATTCCTTGAATACGTTGTGAGCGCCAGTTCCACGAGTGTGTTTTTTTATATAAAATTAAAAATAAGACTGAGAGTGTGAACGAATCGCCCTTATAAATCCCCACATACAGACGTATCATTCACATCCTGCAGTTCCTAGACAAACACGTGGTGGTGGTGGTGGCGTTGTTGGTGGTGGCGTTGTTGGTGGTGGCGTTGTTGGTGGTGGCGTTGTTGCTGCTCACAAGGGCTGATCAACTGTTGTGATGCCCCGTGAAGACTCCAATCATAAAATAAAAGATTTACTCGATGAAGGTACCTACCTTAAAATTAAACCAGACACAACCAGCACATTGGAACGTAAAACCACTACAATCATTGCCAAGTCATCAATTCCCAAGGAAGAGCAATACCTGATCAAACCAAGGGCTACATCATGACACCTCCTTTGCCAGTATTAAATTAAGATAATAGGATTTCCCCCTTTCTGGCAATAAAACTGTTGTGTTATGATGTTAAAACACCAAACTGAAACCTTTGCAAGGAATCCTG